TTTAAAATGACTTCAAAATGTGTGGACTTCTTAAAATGTGTGGAGTCCTGCCTAAAGACAAATCATTACTAATATTTACCTTGCTAATCTACTTTCCACAACATGTTCTTTCATTAGCTCCTTGTTTATTTGCGACACAGCCTGGCTTGGAGCCCAGTATATTTGGAGGCTGAGTGAAGATGTACAAGTTTTTCTGATTTGAAAAGATGGCAAAGGAAATGCCAGTAGATTTTATAAGTGAACTTAACAAAAGGAAATAAAGTCTTTGTATCTTGACCAAAAACAAGACAGTGTTTCTTATTTTAAAAGTAATCAGCTTGTACTTTCTTTGAATGTTTGATATATTTGGTTGTCTCTTAAAATAAAGGTGATCAGATACTCATTTTCTTAGGACACAGCTGTGTAGGAAATTCACTTAAATATAAAATACCTTGACTGAAATTTCATTTTCCATGCTATCCTTATCTTTCCCAGAATGTGAAGCATAGTTACAGATATGTGGATATGTATTTTTCAAGTAAAACTCACTTTCATCACGAAGGAGTCCTCTATCTCCTTTCCTCTGTCTGCTGGTTGGCAAAAATTCTTCCTATCAGCTGTAAGTCGTGTGCCCAGGAGTTCCTGAGGTGATTTACCTGTGTTGTCTTGAGATATGGATGTGATTACCCACGTTTTATGTCTGAGAAAACTTAGCAGGAAAGGTATCTGAATTTGTCAAATGCCATGTAGTTTCGGAAAGTCTTACTGTAAATATGAACTCTGAACCTTCTGTGAGGACCCCTGCTTGGGGGAACATTCCCAGCCTCTGAGGGCTGGTATGTGCTTGATTTCTAGCAAGATTCTTTTCCTCTCGCTAAAAATGTCTCTGAATGTAAATGACACCAGAAATACGGACCTTGCTGGAAGGAATTTTTCTCTGATTAAAATAGAGGACAAACATAAGAAGTCCTCCAAAGTCATGCATCGACTTCAATGAAGGCCAGATTTCCTGCCAACTTTATCAAAATTTTCACGGCAGAGCTGGTGCTGCATGGACCAAGCACAGAGCTTGGCCTGGGTTTGTCCTGGTTCTGCTCGCAATTGTGTATGAAACTTCGAGGTTATGTAAAAATTTTATGTGCATTGATAAACAGTTATGCTAACATTACTTTCACAAAGTTGAAAGGAGATATTATGTGATTTAAATATATAATGAGATGGAATGAGATATTATATAATGAAACTCTTTATAGATGCAAAAGACCCTACTATGATATTATATTTTAACATTTTACTCAAACACTACTTTAAAAATAAATGTACACATTAGAGGAAATTGACAACAGAAAATGTTTTTTAGTCATCAAAGATCTAGAATTATGTTTATTTATCTATTTTGAAGTGCTGGAGAGAGATCCAACCCAGAGCCTTGCCATGCTAGGCAAGCATTTCACCACTGAACTATATCCCTGGCCTTAAGATAAATTTTAGAGAGTTATTGCAGAAGAAACTGATATATGTCAACCGACCTATAAACTAAATATAGATTCAAAATGGGACATAAATATATACAAAAGCAAATAAAAGGCAATATTGAAAAGTAACTTTCTTAGTAGCCTTAGAGTTAGAATATATATATGGTATATGATATACAGACCAAATATAATTTTAGTAAATGTTAATATTTATTTCATACTTGACATAAAATCTTAAATCTCATTTATGGTTCCTTCTAATAACATATCCATTATCTACCAGCTATTTGCAAAGTATAATTGAAAAAGAAGCCAACTTTGAGAATGTCACCTACTTATAATTTACTTGCTGTATGTAATATAAGCTTTCTATGAGGTACATAGTGTGAGTAATAATACTGGTCATTAGGTAAGCATCTAACAGAGAACTGGTGTTAGATATATATTAAGTGAAAAGTACCAGAATTTAAGAAAAAATAAAAACTACCAAAATGAACAAGCACTGTGAAAATTGGACATATGCTCATATGAATAATTATAAATAATATTCTCTTTCTGTAAAGATTGAAATTTGAAAAGATAAAAAAAAAGAAAACATATATGTATGTGGAACCAAAAATGTAAGAAGGAACACATTTGTTTTTAAATGTTTGCAAACTAGTGAAGAAAAGTTCAAAGAAAATTGGAGAGGTAAATTAAAAGAAAATCATTCTATTTGAAGATGTATTTTCCCCTACTTAATAAGTTAAATGTATACCTGTAGTGGAATTCATTAAGGTCAAGAGACTTAATTAATCAATAAACATAAAAGCAAGCACAGCTAATTTGAAATTGGAGGAAAATTCTCGTGCTAAAACTCTATTTTCTAAATTTGTCTACTGGATGATTTTCTTTCATCATTCCCCTTAAAGATTTAGGTATGAATAAACTCATTCTCAGAGAAATACTTCAATAAAACAAAAATAACTTTATTAGGTTTTTAGAATGTCAGTTTTTCATGAATCCATATATTAAAATCTACTGTAACTGTAGAATAAACCCTAAAAATGTATAGGTAAGCAATTTACTTTGAATCTATGTAACAGCCTGGTATGTATTTACTTTAAAAGAAAACATTAACTCTGTATGACTTAGGGTCCTCTATCCTTTCCCTAGATGGCCAAGTGAAAGCATTGGGTGTTACAGTAAGGTAGATCTTCATAAGGAATCTTGATACTAACACTGAAAAGCTTAACGATCTAGGAAACCTTATTTAATCTCTCTAACACAAGTTCTAGTGAAAAGTCAAGATTATAGTAACAAATAAATTGGATGATTCATGAGATAACTGAGCAAATCTGCATAATGTTAGGGTTTTATAAAATGAAATTATTCCTTACAGTTTTGATTTTATAAATGAAATTGATGGATAGAGAAATAGAAGATCATACTCATTACAAAACAAGTTAAGACCACATCTAAATTCTGAATGTTCACTATATTTCAGGGATTGTGCTAGTGCTAAACATCAGATTTATATGGTTAATTTCTTTATCCTCATAAATAACTCATAACAGTGATGTAAATGAAGTTTATTTATTGGCCTAATATCAAATGATTGGGCACCCTGAGTCTCTCAATTGGATATTCCTGAGGCCATCATTAACCCACCTTTGGAAATAGTCACATTGTACGGAAATGGAAATGTAGATAATTCAAGAAAGAATCATGATTCCAAATCCGAGAACAGGCCAAAAATGAAAAACAAACAAACAAAGAAAAATTACAAGGAATATACCCTGCATAGCTTTCTGAAAATCTAACTGCTGGGAATCTAATTGCTTATCAAGACCCCATCCCCAACTTCCAGTCTGTATGATTGCAATTTCTATAAAAACCTTGTGATTTTAAAAAGAAAGGAATCTCTCCTTTTATATAACCCTTTGAGAGAATGAAAACCATCTCATCACTGTAAAAGCTTTCACATTCATATTAATGTGGAAGGTCACTTTTTTTTTT